CATAAATGTGGTAGCGAATAAGGTGCTATTTATCAAAATTCATGGGTGAATTTTAATTGGTCAAAACTTTTTCCATACCATATCTTTTTTCCATCATAAATTGAATAAGAAAGACAGATCCATGGACCTTGGTGTCAAGGTTCTAAATATCGATACACCCGATATGCCGGTAGGGGAGTATCGGGCAGTATCAGTACTTTTTTTTTTTTTTTTTTTAATTCAGGGGGCTGATTTAAGGTTTCTCCACTCGCTGAACCGGTCAAAACCCTGATACATCCTTTGTAAGGGCATATCGGGATACTACTTTGAACCTTGGCTGGTGCTTTTACTTATTGAGAAAAACATGGTTCAAAAAGAAATCTTACCTATGAGATCATTTGGGGCCTAGGGATTTTCAAGCCATTGTTATGCTTTTGGTGAAAAATTACTAGAATGCCCTTGATTTCGCATGTAATAAGCAGCTCTTGGGTTCCTAACCTAATAGAACGACGTAGCAAGAATCTCATTTATCATAACTGATTTTTTTTTTGACATTGTAGAATCCAACTCTAGAACCATTTTTTCATCATTATTCGAATTAGAAATTGCAAATTAGTACAACCAAACGTAATTTTCATTTAGAGAATCGATTTTTGGATCGATGCCAAATAGGGCCTTAATATTCCCAAGGTATGTTTAAGTCAGTTTTTTAAAACTCAGGGTTTGGTTAAGTCTTCTACCCTTTAAAAATTCATCACCCGAGATCTCACGAGTTCCCTCGGTTCCTGTTCAAGTGTATAGTTTCTTGGTTCAATAGATTGGTATGTTCTTGTAATTTGATTAATATTTTTTATTGTTTTGGATATAATCATTTGTTTGGCCTTTTTTGCTGATTATAATCTTTGGGCATGTATCTAAATATTGCTGAATGAATTTCACCTTGTTAGACTAAAAAAAAAGTTCATGTGGTCAAATTCTAAATTTTTAATAGTGGAAAGGGCCCATCATAACCGCATGAAGATTGATGAATACTAGCTCATCTATGTCTAAATAACGAGTAATTGATTTAAATAAAGTGTTTTATTTTGCTGAAATTTATTTGTTAAGTTGCATAATCAAGGAAGTGCATCAGGTTGATATATTTGTGTCTATAAATTTAGTGTTCAATATTATACATCTCATGGTTGAACTTGCTTAACCTGAGTTTGTCCATGAAAAAAAAAACTAAAAAATGATAAGAAGAGAGTTTCAATATAAAATATAAAGGTTTTTATTTTTTATTTTTTATTTTTGCGTAGAAAAGTCGATTAGTAGATTGGCTGTTTTTTCCTATGGTTGCTTCTTTTTTGCTTAAATAAAGATGTAAGGCTCAGTTTTGAAGGAGTACAAACGCAAATATGTAGAGTGCAGAATCTTATATTTTGCATTATTTTGTATGTATTTGTACAGTACATATTTGCATTTGTACTCTTTCTAAACTCAGCCTAAAGAACGTAATTAGGGTGCTGCAATATATGTGGCAGTGTGAGTTTTATATATGGCTCGGTTCAATGCTTATTGTTACAATTACATGTCCCTTGATCACACTTGATCAAGTCATGATCCGTGGATTTAATTTTAAAATGCCAACAACCATTTTCGACCTCCTAAAAGTGTTTATCTCATTTTTGTGCAAGTATGTGTGATTTGTAACCCTGGTCATATGCGATTTGTGATTTTTTCATTTGCATTTGAGGTTTGTGTTTGCGGTTGCTTTTGTAATAACAATTTCACTCGCGATGAGAATTTGTGATGATAATCTCATTCACAATGAGGATTTGCATTTGTAATCTCACTTGCGATGAGGATTTGTGATGGCCATAACATGACTTGCATCAAGAATTTGCGATGTGCATCACTTGCAATGAGCATTATTGATGGACCATCTCGTATAGTGGTAGCCCAACTAAAACCCTAAAAACACTATCAACGACATAATCAAAACCCTATCTCAACCACCATCACTCCACGAGAGTGTGCCACCATACAACCACAACTCACCACCATAACTTGAAATAGAAGGAAAGCCATAAATCTAGTATATGCTTGGCATCGATGCTACAAATACAACACCGTTTTCTCAGAAAATGGTCTTTTTTTTTGGTTTGGAAATGTTGCTGCCAGGTAAGACGTTTTCTGGACCAACAACAACGTTTTATGTTTGATACCAATGCTCCAAGAAACATTTTCAGCAATGGTACCTATTATCCAATGCCACATCATATCCCTATCACTGCCACCTTATGTCCTTGTTGGTAGCAATAAGCTGTAGCTCTAGGAAACGCTAAATTCGGTGTTGCTTCAAGCCACGCCTTCTCGATTTCCAAGGCGTGGCTTGGAGCATTGTTTTTTATGGAAAAATGGTTCCAAACAAACAGGCATTTCCTGGATCACTGTTTTTTTCGATGTGGCACTGATGTGTTGTCGTTTTCTAGAGCAACGACACCGATGCCAAACAGACTGCTAGAACACCAGATAGTTCATAAAGGAGGAACCACAAATGAGGAGACGGGAGAAAAGACCCCCTGACTGAGAAGAGAAAACACGTGTTGTTAGAGCCCAATTTTTTCTTGGCACCTTCATCCTACCTCTTTATACCCTCTTTTGGGACCACAAAGCTTGAAAAGCATGACCAAATTAACTTGAGGCTTATCAAAACCAAATATTCATTTTTTAGCATAATCTACACGTTAAGCATCTGATTAAACTACATTAATAAACCTAAAATTTGATTAATGAGAACATTAAAATCAAAATTTGACATTGCATAGGCTTTAGCACCCAATCAAACACAATCCTTAAACTTAGGAAACTATAACTTAATTATATGTTGAATTTTATGATCAAACTTCAAAGATTCACCACTCATCACACCGACTTTCTTTCCAAAGGTTCCGATTTATGTAATGTTTGAACCTTGATTCAATAAGTCAAATCCAACACATTCATTGCCTCAAGAATATTAAGATACGATCRTTCAATCCATATATTTGATAAAAGATTCATTTGTTATATTAGATTCAAGACATTCAAAAAATAAATTTCACCAAATTTCATCCCAAGATTCCCCATTTAATCCACTATTAAACAAAGATTCTATTTCAACAAATTTCATTGATTAAATATGATTAGTTATAGATTTTCATCATTTAAACCTTATTTGACTAATCAAACCTCACCACCATGTTCAAAGACCTAAAAAACCCTAGTACATTAAATTTCACAACCTAATTCACTAATTTGATCGCTAAATTAGAAARATTCTATTTCGATGCACTAGATTAAATCACCCTTCATTTGTCTCGACTTGAGACTTCAAGAGGGTGGGGATGATGTCAGCCCTATACTTGACATATTAAAACACCTAAATCCATTAGGATAAGCCAAACAAACTAAGAGAACCCAAAAAACCCAAGGTAATCCTTTTTAAATAAAGGAAATGACATAAGGACTATTATGGCCATTTAAAATTTATGTTTTTTGCCACTAAGAGTTCAAATTCAAGTAAGATAGGTTCAAAACTAACCCCATTGGGCCCAAGAAACCTTAGATAACTCATAAAAATCTTGGGTTGAGTGATTAAATCCTCAGAGAGCCTCTAAAAAGCCTGTCAAGATCATGTTTCTTGAGTGCTCTTGCAAGGATTTCTTAAAGCTGAAACCTTGTGATCTGACAAGTTTCAGACTTGGTTTCCTGTCCATTTTTCTACAAATATAGACTTAAATTGAACCCAAGGAAAGATGAGAGAATTGACAAACATCCCCAATCTCCGTAAAGTTCTCATTTGTGTTTTCTCACAAGAAACCTCCAAGCCTTAATGTTTACATTTCAAATCTTTCCCCAATGTGTGTAGCTCACCTACATTGACAATTTCATATTCCCTTTTTGACCATAAGCATTCTCCAATCTAAAGCGCTCGTGTAAGCATCCTTTCAACTTGGTGTAGTTGTTGAGCTCTCATCTTGTTTTCTTTGCTCACTAAGCTCACAGTTTCTTGGGTTTTTTCTAATTATAAGTTCTTGGAAGTTTTAAAAGCTTGGAGAACTTGCATTTCTAGCTTCTTTTGGATTTGGATAAACAAGTAGAGAGGCGATGGGCCTAGGGAAGTCAGTATTTGATACCTGATAATATCTCCTCAAACAAGTTTAGAGGAAGTTGGAGCATTTTCCCACAATATTTTGGGGATTTTTAACAATCTTTCTTGTTGYTTTTCTTAGGAAAATTACGCCTAAACATTTCTCATAGTGAGCTACTATAGTAGTTGGAGGGAGGGGTGCTTAACACATTCTTTCATTCCATTCCGGTCCAAAATTTCTAGGTTAATTGCTTTCCTTGTGGAGAGATTGAGTTACTATTTCAAACAAGGTTTTTAAAACCGAACTGGACAACAAATCATTTAGGGTCCAGTTCCTAGGTTGAATGGTTCGACCGTTCGAATCGAATGAATGGCTTGTTATGACAAAAAATAAATAAAAAATGGCCAAAAATCACATGACGATTCAAATAGTTCGTTCACCCGGATCAACGGTTTGTTAACCAAATCAATGGTTTTTGGTCAAAATGACAGTTTTGGTGTAAAATGGAACCGATTAAGTGACCRATTCTTGATTTTTCTGGTATGGCCGTCCGATCTAGTCTGATTTTGAAAGCCATGATTTCAAAAAAAAAATCAATTTTCTATGGTTGAAACGAGAGTCCATTTTCTTTAAATTTGGGCGACAACTTCATCTCTTTGAATTGACCATAAACTTCAAAAAAATCAAAATGTGTCGAGAAGAGGCACATAAAGAGAAGATATAAGAAAGAGGGAAGAGAAGGAAAATGAAAAAAAAGGAGGGAAATAAAAAGACACATGTCGCAAATTTATATCAAGCATGGCAAACAACCAACATACCACATGTTCATCTCTCACCATATAATATTCTAACCAAATGTGTTTTTTCTTTCACAATATGACGGTACACTAACCTAAAGCTTTAAAGCTTTAAGTATATAGTTACAGATGATATGGAACCCAAACACTTTTAAGCCCCGAAGCAGAAAGTTTGGAATTAGGGTTTTGTACATTTGGGGTTTGGAAGAACGAATCCGAACGCAACCTTAATTATTATTATTGTTTTATTTTTCAAAAGAAGAAAAAATACAAAAAAAAAAGGAAACAACTGCTTCTGGAATTGCACTGACCCTGGGTTTTCCATCTAGGCTCTAGCTATACCTTCACAGCAGATACTAATATACTATCTCGATAGATTTCTATATATGGTTGATCTCTTTTTTTCTAAATCTATTTTGCTCCGAAAATTTTCTCATTTTTGATCATTCCCTTCATTCTGTAGTTTTCCTTGTATGATTGTATCTAATCTGTCTTATTTCTTCTCTCATGCAATCAATATTCCTTTCACATTTAAGTTTCTGGGAGCACTCTGCAACTTGTGTATTACATCTTATCCATTTATTTTGTAATTTTGCGTTTTCTTATTTTGGATTGCTGGGCTCTCGTCTCTTCCAAGGTCCCTGTTGCTTCTTCTGAGTCCTGCTCAGCAGTCTCATCCTCTGAAAAGTTGGGTTTTGGGGCTTTGGGGTTTTTAGGCATCACCTTTCTGTCTTATGCGTTGCTCTAGTTTGCATCCATTGCTTTTGGGGTTTTGAATTTGTGAGCTCCTCCTCCACTTTCCATATCCGAATTTCGAAACACTTCACTGAATCTGGGTGTTTGACTTTTTGGATCTTCTTCTGTAACTCTGGTTCGTTGTTTTAATTTTGTTATTTATCAAGTGTAACAACCAATGGCCATTGTCAGTGGAAGGCATGGGAGATGCTGAGCCCAAGGAGGAAGAACGGTAACTCAGACGTTGTAAAACTCTCCACGATTCCGTGCCCATGGAGAAATCACCGGAGCTTCTCGGTCCAATGGGCCTAATAAAGAGACATGAATTTGTAAGAGTTATTGTTCAGTGTCTTTACTCCTTAGGCTACAAAAAGTCTGCTTCGCTTTTGGAATCAGAATCTGGTATTTCGTACAAATCTTCGGAATTCACGTTACTCGAGTCTCAAATCCTTAATGCTAATTGGGATGACTGTATCAATACTATTTGTACAATTGAGAATTTGATTGCGGAAAGTCAAGCTTCGGCTTCGTTTCTCATCCTTCGGCAGTGTATTTTGGAGTCTTTGAGCCGAGGAGATGAATTTTCTGCATTGGCAGTTGTTCGGAAACACATTTCTAAAACAGGGATAGACGCAGAGAAAGTTAGAAAGCTTGTATCTAGTATCATTTCTCCAGAGGAGATAGGGTTGGGTAAGATAGATGAAAGTTTTATTAGGGATTTGCGACGGAGATTGTTGTTAGAGTTGGAAAATTTGCTTACTCCACCAATTGCAGTGCCTGACGGAAGGTTGGAACATCTAATCGAGATGGCACTTATCACTCAGAGGGATTCTTGTATCTATCATAACTCATCTGATAGAATTTCACTATACGAGGACCATTGCTGCGGTCGTGATCAGATTCCTACTGAGACTGTTCAGGTAGTTTTGATTTTCTTGCAGTTGTTTTTTTCTGCACTTTGTTTGTGTATGTTACTGAAAATATATATCTTTTGAACTTGACTCTCTCTCTCTCTCTCGTGTGTATGCATTTATGCTTGTATTTTATTTAGGCTCAGTTTGGAAGGAGTATAAATACAAATATGTAGGGTGCAAAACCTTGTATTTTGTATGTATTCGTACTGTACATATTTGTACTTGCACTCTTTCCAAATTGAACCTTATTTTCTTTTGTGTTTATTGAAGGTCATTAGAAATGTATACCTGTTGGAAATTGCTGGATATAAAGTTATAAACATTTCCTTTTTTTGAGAAAAGGAAACTTTCATTAGAAGGGAATGATATACAAGATGTATATCCTTTCAGATGTATAAACATTTCCTTTCAGATCCACTAATGTTAAGCAGGAGCTTACGATGCAATACTTTCCTGTTATTTCATTTACATGCAAGAGTAACACTTGGAAATAACTTTGAGATTTGAGACTGAAGTATGCATATATTTTTTTTTTTATTTTATCGTAGCAATAAAAAGTTTTCCTATTGTGTCATATGTGAATGTTATCTTCTCTGTATGTTATAGTTTGACTTTGGCTTTCTTAGATTGGCTACATCTAGGGTAGAAACTTTCCTCCTTGGTTAGAATTTCCTACTCACAGCTGCTTAAAATCAAAACTATATTTTCTTCCCTAAATTTGTTTTTAGGTTTTAAATACATATTTATTAGGTGTTTTAACAAAAAAGAGATAGTCTAGTACATTAAACAATTGACAGATTGACTTGACTAACTTCCATCCTTTTTTTTTGGGTAGAAACTTTCAACCTTAAGAAGTAAGAACAAACCATATCCATGATGAAGTTCCTTCTAAAAGATATCAATATTACTTTACCCACATGAAAATGAACTACCATTATTAACACCTCTATGACAAAATTTCTTTGTCAAGACCTCAATATCCATCAAATTATTGGTAAATTTCTAATCACATGTTAAGGAATAGCCTAAATTATTGACAGATGGAAAAACCAATCATACCTTCAAAACAAAAGGCTATCATAAAACATCTATCTTCCAATCCTTAGCTTAAAAGCCTGAAAAAAAAAGAGAAACAAGAGGAATAAAAGGTCCATAAATTTGGAGATTAATCACTACTGACTGGTTGGCAAACGTCGGCTGATTCATGAAACTATCCAGAACAATAAATTGTGGATAGTGGAGGAATGGGATAGTATAGTAGGCATATTTTTGAGAAGGTATTAAGATATGGTTTGAATGCAAATCTTTCATTTCTTACCTTTTAAAAGTTAACACTTCTTTTAAAACTGCACTGGTAAACCAATGAGGTCATTGTTGGCTTACTAAATCTGGTACCCAGCAACTCTCTCAACTGCCTCCTTAACGCTTTTAGTTCTGGTGGTGCCATCATGTAAAGCATCACTGCCAATGGCTTAGCCCCTTGCTCCATGATTCTTCTGGGTGAAAGCCTCTCTGGCAGCTCCATTAGCACTATATCTTTGAGCTCTCCAAGGACTTCTGCTATTTCATCAATATCTCCTTGCTTGACCTATTTTCTTCAATATCTCCTTGCTTAAACTTCATCATCATTAGAGTTTGTCAAAAGTTTTAAGTGCTGGCTGCCAACCTGACATGACCCTCCTTTATTTGGGTTTGGGATTGGCAGTCGTCCAGTGTAAGACAAGCTTACACTTGTGGCATTGGCTTAATTGCTTAAACTTCCTGCTTAATAATGTYATCTACTTTTCTATCAAAGTGTTGAGATTAAGCGGTTTCTTATGTTTTTCTTGTTTATAATCATTAGTTAGTGTTATTGGGCTCAAGGCCCATTAGTTTATGCTGTCTTTTTGGGACTGTTTTTTATGTTATTAGCAATAGCCGCCCTATTAAGGGCATATTAGTCTTTGTAGCCAACCTTGTTTTTATGAGTATATAAGATAATGAGTGGGGTGACCAGATCATTGTTGGCTTCACACCCCATCTCTTCTTCTCTTCTCACTAAGAACTCTCTTTCTTTCTTCTTTTTCACTGTTATGAAATCAGATTATTGTTTTTTCTTTTTCTACTCAAAGAAGAGAGAGTTCTATGTCTATGGCACTTTGTTGAGAAGTAAATAAAGATGTTAGAAGAATATTTTTAGAATTATCTTTAGGATGATATTAGTTAGTAGATATTAGAAACTGTGAAACCAGTTTGCTCCTTCTAGACATTATTTGATATTAGTCTATAAAATATGAATTATATAATTATATTCGACCTACCTTATGGTCGTTTACAAATTTTCTTTTTATCTCTAAATCTCCATATGTACTAGTATGTCTATATCAAGGTTCAAAGTGTCGACACGTATCGGCCCGTATCGGCCGATACGTATCGTTCCGACGTTCTGGGACCCCTCCGATACGCCCCTATAGTGGGTGTATCGGGGTCTGACCGGTTCAGGGGGTGGAGGAGCCCTAAACCGGCCACCCTGAACTGGTTTCAGAAAAAAATAAAAAAGTAAAAAAAATAGTATCGGTTCGGCGTATCGGGCGTATCGATATTTTGAACCTTGGTCTATATTACATATGTTGTATCTTCTAGTTTTTTTGGTACAATATCTTCTAGAATTTTTTGCCCTAATAATTGTGCTCTATAATGTGATTTTATTAACACAATGTGGCTGTGTTCTACCAATCTGATACCATGGGTAGTTGTGCTGGATGTGTGGTGCCTGTCAAATGTTTTCCTGTTGCTAATAAAGGTAATTTTCATTAATAAAAAAGAGCATATAGCAGGTGACCAGAAAGCACCATTTGAAAGAAAACTGAAAACAACATCTTGCAACAAGACAGCCCAACAACAATGGAACATAAAAACCAACTATACATTACCAAATTATATATTAATGACAATATCCAAAATAGGCTTGTTAATGAACATTATTTATATATGCTGAATAAAATAACAAAGGCATTTCATTGACATGATTTAGTTGGAAACTGCAAGCATGAAAACTTTGGGCATAAGCTTGTTGCCTATTCATGGATCTTACCCATGGTTTAAAATGTCCCTAATTTCCCTAATACTTCCATTTCCATGGGTAGCGACACAAAATTTTACCGGAATTGACATTTCTCCAATGAACACTACCAACACTATGTGGAGTACAACAAATAGTTTCCACAACATATTTCCATTTCCACTTCCATGGGTAGTGACATGAAACTTTACTGGAATCAACATATTTCCCAGTGAATACTACCAATACTATGTGGAGTCCAAGAGATAGTATTATAACATAAGTTGGTACAATATTGTAAATATGTTAAATAACAATTTTATTGTCCGCCTAACTTACATGATTACCACTTTGAGCTAGTTCAATATTCATTTCAAATATGAAGTTAAATATTAGTTTTTTGTTTGTGTAATAGATTATTTGGTTGATCTATTACAATCATTTACATTTTCTATGAGTTAAAATTTTGCTTCAACTCATTTTATCATGAAGCTCTGAATCTTAAAGTTTACAGGGCAACTTCAGAGCGTATTCTTTCGTCTATAACCTTAGTTTCTTAGCTTTGTTTATTGATTTGCAACAAGATAATAATTTAAAAATGTGTTCCTATGCTTCTTTTATCATTTCATAAAATATCTTTCTATATGTTGCATATTTTAAAATGTTTCCACCATGTCTATAATTTTTACAATATTTCCATACGATATTTCCGACATTTCCGACATGTTTCTTATATTTGGATGACCGATATTTCCACTGACATCGACATTTTAAACCTTGATCTTACCCTGTAGCCATCCATATTTTGAATAGAAGGTGATAGCTCTGATCAGGAATTGTAGAAGTTAATGTATCAATTAAGGGGAACATTGAAGGCTATTGGCTGTAAAAATGCTGTGATATCTTTAGACTCTTGTTTGTAGGAGGATGACATTTTTAGGCTCCTTTTTTTTAATAGGACCTAGAGAAATATTGGAAGTGATAGAATATGGATTCAATAATAACTCCTATCCTTGTTTGGGTTAAGGTGGAACCCCCTCCAAATGTACAAAGCTTGTTTGGCCCTACCTTTGTTAGTTGGCATAAGAAGAGGGGAAGAATTTTATGGATTTATGAGGGCAGTTTGTTGGACAATATGGGAAACCAGAGAACATTTGCAGAAAAAGAAGTAGAGAGGCACTAATTGAAGCCATCGTCATTAGAGTGGTCCACTGGGTGAAAACCTTAAAATTATATGAGGATGTTTCTGCTGTTGATTTTAGGGTTTAATCAATACAAACATTGCTAAATGCTGTATTTAACCCCCAAAGACTTCAACACCTGAACCAATAAGTAAGGAAGAACTTAAAATTTTGTCTAATCAACACATTTCTTCTTCTTAAAATGCCTTTCTTATTTTATTCAGCATATATAAAATAAGGTGCCCCCTATATCACATAGGAATGCAAGATGTTTCCTCAAGGCAATTCATTCCTCAATTGCATTACTTCAAATAACTAATGTGATGCAACACATCTTGCATTGCTAATTCTATGAGCTGTGCTTGTACCAAGCCCCTTGAGGCAAGCCAAAAGAAGTCCATGTTAGGATTTGAAATTCTTAATCCTTACACAAAATAAACGATTTTATAATTTTAATTGCCTTTTAAGAAGATATTTTATTAGGATGAATGAATTGCCTCGAGGGACTTGGCCAGGGGTCCGGTTTCCCTGGTCCAACTGCTATGTTCAAAAAAGAACAAAAAGCGCAAAATAAGTGCATGCCTGGGCTGAAGCGTACAGCGCACTAGGCACACGCCTTTTGAAAGTGCTGTGCTTAGGGCCTAGGCGTGCCTTTTAAATCACTGGTTCTCACATTGGTTCTTGGACCATTTGTCATGTCCTTAATCAGGTCCACATTCCTATTGGCATTCCTTTCTTTTTCAAAATCCACCATATTATCTTTCTAAGGATTCCTTCACATGCTTTCTCCAAATCAATGAATGTCATGTGAAGATCTCTCTTCTTTTCTTGAAGCTTTTCTACCTATTGCCTCAATAAAAAGATAGTTTCCATGGTTGATCTTCTTAACATAAAACCAAATTGGTTTTTCTAATATAATACTTGCTTCATGTTGTAATTTTTACTTGATCACTCTCTCCCATAGTTTCTGTTATTAATAAAATACTAATAACACTTTGGATGTTGAGGATGTAGAAGTGTTAAACAAACCCCAAGGACCTTAAATTGTATACACTTAAGTTGTGCTGTTTAAATCATGAAATTAAAATATAAAATTTTATAGTGGTTAGCGATTGCAATCTGAATTTTATCATTTCCATTGAGCTATTCACATTTTCCATTTATTTTCCTATCTTATGATTGGAAATATAAGTGGAATTTATTTTGATATTTCTCACTGTAGCAGATCTTAAATCACCATGAGAATGAGGTTTGGTTTGTACAATTTTCAAATAACGGGGAATACTTAGCATCATCTTCGAGTGACTGCACAGCCATAATATGGAAGGTATGACATAAACCTGGTATCTTAGAGTAGTACTTATGGAATGTTTACATTCTTCTCAGCTTGTCTATATGTTTGTGTGGCAGGTAAATAGGTTGGTAGTTTTAGCATAGATCTACTATATCATCAATCACAGCCTTTACTAATTAGCAAACTGTCATCTTCAAACTAGCATTGTCTCCTTGCTTTCCTTTCTTAAAACATAAGACTGTTTGACTTGATAGAAGACCTTTCCCTCAATCAAATGCACCTAAAAGTAAGTAGTGATATATAAGAGAAGACACACCAAAAAAATAGTTCAACAACTATAGATTTTTTGTCTAATATATGTGAAATCCCCACCCACTCTGTAGAGAGAATTTTTTTTAGTCAAGTCTTAAGCTGTTTCCACCCCCATTTTATGCCACTATGATCCATAAAGATCAATGGCTGAGAATAAATATATAATGCATATGATGCCAATGTTGGTCAAAGGAGAAGTATTTTGAGTAAGAAGGAAGGAGAAAGAATAGAACAATTGAAGGTGTTTGAGAAAAAGGCGGTAGATTGTTTTTTGTCCAGCCCAGAATGATATGATATGTATATTAGAATTTAGAGGAGGAAGAAATTACATAAAAGTCCCTTACTAGGTGGGCTGAGAAAATAAAAGAGATACAAAGATATAAGGCCAAGGCCCACTACAAAAGTAAGACAAGCATTTCGGCCCACTAATACATTATGTCTCACAACACTCCCTCTCAAGTTCAGCATAGATACCTATTATGCTCAACCTGCCTAATAATTCATGAATGCCTTTGACAGCCCTTTATTAAAGACATCGGCTAGCTGTTTTCCAAAGGGCAAGTAAGGTATGCAAAGATCTCCAGAAATAAACCTTTCTCGAACAAAAAGTATATGCTTAGGGTTTTATAAATTTCTAGGTGATGAAAATTTTTAAATATAAACCATGAATCCTAGGTGATGAAATTTTTACATAGAAACCATGAACTCTAGGGTAATTCCTTAAGTTCCATAGAAACCAGAAACCATCCTTCATTGATAATTATTTATAAATTTCATAAAAAAGCATATGCTTCATATTAAAATCTAGAAAATCAACATATTTATGGGAAGAAAAAGAGGAAAAGAAAACCCGGAAAATATAGGGGTTGAGCCCCTATCTTTGTCTAGGAAAAGGAAAAAGAGTGGTGGAAGGACGATTGTGATGATGATAAAAATAAAGAATGTGTTAATTGGACAGAATTTTAAGTTTTTCCTTGCTTATTGGTTTAGGTTTTTAAGTCTAGGGTTCAAGACAACATACACCAACATGCGTGTTGATTGAATCCTGACAATTGAGAATATAATAAAAAGAAACTAGTATATAAAACCCACATAATGAATATTTTAGTTTAATAACATCTATTTAATTATTATAATATTAAAAACAAAGAAAATAAGAGTGTTTCATAGTGGCATGTACAAAATATGTAGCAATTAAGCGAGGTGACCATCCACAGGCACCTTGTTGCCCTGGTTCACCATTTCGATATCGATGGACACTTTTCCATGTAGAGGTGGAGAAATTTCAGAGATATTTTGCTAGTTTCGCTAAGATATTTTGGAAATTAAAAAAATTAGGAAATATTTCTAGAAACATGGAATTAGTTAATAAACCTTCAAGGAATCATTAGGATAAATATAGTTGCACGTTAAGGCTCAAAATAACCATGACAAGAAACTGTATAAATCAAATAGGAGACAATTGAGATGCTTTAATAGGTATCTTTCTTTGTCTCACTTTTAGTCTCTTAGCTATCTTCTCTTTATTAAATATGTCAATTACTTGCCATTCTGACTTTTATCTGTTACTATATGTTTTGATTAGTTTGAGAATATTATTTTGTAGTTATATGCATTTTACTTTTTCTTTTCAGTTTTAGTGACTTAGTAAGTTAATAATATCAAACTAGTAAGTCAATTATCCAATCACCAACTTTTTTTTTTTGATCAATTATCCAATCACCAACTCCCCATGGTTCATTTATGAAAATATTTTTAAAAAATTATAATGATTTTAGCGGAGTATCAAAAAGTTTTTAATAACATTCTAAAACTTTAAACCTTAAATATAAAGATTATCAATGAAATCTGGAATATCACCAATTTATTTTAAAAAAATATAATAATTTTAATGAAGTATCAAAAAGTTCTTTAATAATATTCTCTGATTTTAAACCTTAAATATAAAGTCTATCAACAAAATCTGAAATATCACCAATATCGCTGATATATCGGCAAAATATTGGAGATATTTGGAAAAAAGATTCCTGGAAAATTTCATATCACCAACTACTAAAATTGGGATATTTTGCCTATATTGTTGATATTGCCTTGACAGCTATGATAAATGTTGGCCATAGAGATTTCCATCATTGAATTCCTTGCTCTCTCTACCACCATTGGAATGGGAACTATTTTGTTTTTTGAAAAAGGTAATATATTGTATTAAGATAGAACAAAATAATCCAAGATATACAACTGGTCTAGAACTCCTGTACAAAGAGAATCTATACTAGAGAAAACCCAACAGGCCCAATTACAATAAACCTAACCAGCAAGACATTTACATGATTTTGACCAAAAGAAAATCCCTATCAAAAAAGAACTTGTACGTTTGAATTTGAACAGAGTGATTTGCAAATCATGAAAACAACATGCCTGAAACTTTTTTGAAAACCTCCTCTTTTGAATTATGTCTCCCTTTGAAAATTCTGTTATTTCTTTCACACCAAACTGCCCAAAAAACTGCTACTGGTGTGATGTTCCAAGCTACTCTGCCAGCCTTAACTGCTTTAGCCATCAAGCATTCATGAGACTTTTCACATCAGCTTGAAAGCACAATTTACCCCAAAAATTTCCAACATTTTCCCCCAATCCAGTAGACAAACTCACAATGAGTCAGTAGATGACTTGTGGTTTCCACACTTTTATTGCACAAAACACACCTCTCATCCAGCACCTGTATACCTCTTCTAACTAAGTTTTCTGTTCTAAGGATTTTATCCAGGACTGCAAACCAGACAAAGAAAGCCAATTTAGATGGTACATTCCTGATCCAGATCATATTACTTGGGAAATTAGAGTCTTCCTCCCTTGTCAGATTGTTGTAAAAAGATTTAACTGAAAAATCACCTGAATTCTCAAAGATYCACTTCCTTTTGTCTTCCTGTGCTCCATGAATCCTAACATTGTACGGTGTCTGTAACAGACTAATTAAAGAATTCACCTCCCAGTCATTCAGGTTCCTTTGGAATTGGGGATTCCATACACAACCCCCATTCTGCCTATCCAAATATGCCAAAGCAGACAAAGAATTCAGGTTCCTCTGGGAACTATTTCTATTTTTCCAGATATGACAAAGCAGGAAAGGGCACTTTGTCCAAGAGATCTTCACCACTTTGTTTAATACCCTCCTTACAAAGCAGATTCCACCTATCAACCATTGACCCATTTCTATCCACCGGGCTAGGGATAGTTTGGTCTACCATCATCGGAATCTGTTTTATATAAGCACAATCTCTAAAAATGTTACTTTTGTCCTCGGCCCATAGAAGGCACATTTGCCATCAATTTTAACTCCTCTATTAATCAACATTTTTTGGAAGGAAATTTCCTATCAGAAGAAAAGAAAACATAAATAATTTGATTTTTGGGGCTATCAGCCATGCTATTTACACTTCTAGGAACCCATTGGAATGAATCTTCAGCCAAAAATCTGACTTCCCTTGGCAAGTATCTATAGTATTTCTGTAGATGTCCATGTTTTTGATGAGTATCTTAGATGTCCATGTTCCTTGAGTATTATTCCTTAACCATCCCACAGCTACCTTGGAGTCCCCTTCCACCATTGTATTTCTGTAGTTAGGTTTTCTGCCTTGCCTCGGTCCATGTAATATTACCATCAATTTTGCCTTGTTTGAATCTCCATAACCGATAGGCCCTGAGTAAGGATCCATTACAGTCTCATCTGAGTGTCTAAAAACACTTCCAATGCCTGACTTCCCTGGGTTCCCTAGGCTGCAACTGTCAAAATTCATTTTAATAAGTGGTACTGCAGGTGGCTTCAAAGATGATACGACCCTTGATCTAGCTGCAGATCGGTTAGCAATGATTTGCCAATTCCTAGCAATATCATCATAGGATACATGATTAGAAATAAATAAAGTTTTTGCCTAATGTGCCACCCTAGCCAAGATTGTTTCCAAAACTGTTTCCTTGGTTAAGCTTTAATCATCAAAGATTCTCTTGTTCCTTTCTTCCCATACTGTAGAGAGGTTTTCTCTTCATATAATGTGTCTGTGTGTGTGTTTTGGTAAATAACAAAGAATAATATGCTGTTGTTAAGAGTAGATTCACTTGAAAATTTAGAGAATATGGGCTAGAGATTGGAATCCCCAATTTCAATTCAGTGGAGATTTGACTTCCACATCATTCAATAATAGTGGATCTCTCTATTACTTGAAAATTTCTCTGTTTTTTTTGCCTTTTATTTTATTTTATTTATAATAGATAGTACTAAAATTGAGGAATTTTGAGTGTATTTAACATCTAACTTGATCCCAAAGTTATGTGCTCTTCTTATTCGCTAGGAATCCATTGTTTTAGTGGTGGGGGTTTAAACTCTCTGGTTACATGTGAACATGTGAATACCCTAGTCCCCCCTGGTACACTGGCTCTGTACGGAGGGAGTATACAACACAACCTTTTGGCAGCCTTTATTCCTTTGTCCATAAAGTCCATAAAACAACAAAAAGAGCAATCCTCCAAATGACCTTTCCTTCCTTGATTAGACCACTAAGGTTCCAGCTCTTTACAAAATATTTTACCAGCTCCAGGTTGCAGCTGACCGCCCCAAAAACATCTCCCACCCTCTGTCAAAGGGTATCAGCAATTTTACATTTTTTACATTTGATTGGTGCCGTTGTCTGAGTGGTTAACAGTGCAAGATGTTTATTTGATATCCTTAATGAAAGTTACTGTTTCCAATCAAAAAAAAAAAAAAAAGAAGGGGACGTAATTAGATTTTAAGTGCAGAACTTGGGTCAAATGAAGGTTGTGGAGACTTGGCTTTGTTGATTGAACAAAAATGTTGTATTTTCAGCAATACAAAACAGAAAAAAATCAGGAAAAATAAGCAAGGAATAGTCTTCCCCCACCCCAAATCTCTTATATAATTGCTGGAAATATGTAAAAATTACAAAAGTGCCCCAAATAAGATGACAGTAGAAAGACCTATAAAAACCTAAAATAGGGAGGGCCATGGCCCAATAACAATAATCCCCATAAACTATATAAAAGAAAAACAGCATTTAATTGCCATATAAGAAGAAAAAAATTGAAAAGTATGAAATAGAATAATGATCATAAGCCCTAGTCTTCCATTTTAAGAATTCTGCTTCCTCTTCAGTGGTAGTGCTCTTTTTAAGATTGGTTTCACTGGTGGTACCCTTTGATCTTGACAGATGGGGTGATCTGTGCTCTGGCATGGCAGACAATATTTGACTGATGTGGCAGTATCTTGTTCTCTGTGCTCAGACTTTGTACTGCCTACATTATGATAATGCACAAAACAAGAGTGGGAAGTTGAACAGTGATAATGTTAAAGATTGTTCTAAGGGACAGTGATAATGTTAAACAGGAAGGGACAGTAAAGACTGATGTGGCAGTATCTTGTTCTCTGTGCTCAGGCTTCGTACTGTCTACATTATTATAATGCACAAAACAAGAGTGGGAAGTTGGACAGTGATAATGTTAAAGATTGTTTTAAGGGACAGTAAAGATTGTTGTAAGGGAGAAAATGTCTAGAAACTGCTGGTTTTATTTTTATTTGTTTATTTATTTTTTGAGAAAGGATAACTTTTATTGCAAAAGGAAACAGGAAGGATGTACATGAGATATGCCTACATGGTAAAGAGGAACGGGGGACAGAAGAAGGGAAATAAGATTGCAGATTCCTTTTGATTTAGTTTTTAAAAGTTGCATAAAAAGCAAATAGGTAAGTTTTAGCAGATATTTTGAGAGGTCTGGACTTGCTCTCAAGTGGCTCCACAGCTTAGTGAGGTCGAAAAACAAAAGAAATTGGGGTGTTCAACCAAAGTGACAACATCTACATAGGCAGGTAACACAATTTTTCCTCGTAAAGCAAATAGTGCCATCTGTTACTAGGATATTTGTTTTGGAACCWCATATAAATACTTTTAACTTATAATTAGTTAAAACAGTATGGAAAAACCATAGCTTCTGAAGAAAAGATTACCAGTATGATCTTGACTGCCTTGCAAGTTAGGGCTTTGGGTGTGTGTTTGCACATGCATGCATATATAAAACTCTTCTTCTTATCATCCAATGGTATATTGGATTCTGACCAATATTTGGGAAATGGAGTTTACCTCTTTACTTTATGATAAAACTTCTGAATGCATGCCTTTATTTCTCTCAGTTGCTAAACAAGGGATTGGAGTGGTTTTAAGGCCTTTAGTTTCAGATTCCAGTTTTGGGATTTTTTTTTCAGGTATCAGAAGAAGGTTTTGTGTCATTGAAACACAGACTGTGCAACCACCAAAATCCTGTTTCTTTTGTGGCATGGAGCCCTGATGATACAATGCTACTGACATGTGGAAACCACGAAGTTCTCAAACTATGGGATGTGGAGACAGGAAACTGCAAGCACACATTTGGTGAGCGGACCCCTGTTGTCACCTCGTGTGCTTGGTTTCCTGATTCAAAGAGGCTGGTCTCTGGTAGCTCTGACCCAAAAAATTGTATCTACACATGGGACCTCAATGGCAATGAGCTGGAGGCATGGAAAGGGGGGAGGTTGCCTAAGGTCTCAGACCTTGCTGTGACACCTGATGGGGATCATCTGATCAGTGTCTTTCATGAGAAAGAGATTCGCATATACAATTYCAGGACAAAATCAGAGCAGAWTATCTCAGAGGAGAATGCTATCACATCGCTTTCTGTTTCTAGAGATGGCCGATTTCTGATAGTCAATCTCAATAGCCAAGAGATCCATTTGTGGGGTGTTGCCGAGAAATGGGACAAACCATTGAAGTATGTGGGCCACAGACAAGGGAAGTATGTGATTCGTTCTTGCTTTGGTGGTTTGAATTGCATGTTCATAGCCAGTGGTAGTGAAGATTCACAGGTATGCTCTTCTTTAGAAAAATCTTTGTTCATTTAGTTATTTTTTTCTCTCCCTTTGTTTCTTGATAATAGAATAATACAATTTTTGCCCTGGCTATGAACATGCCAGCAGAAGTAATACAATTGAGGAAAAAAAGAGATTGTWGCGGACTTGTATGMATCTTGATAATAGAATAATACAATTTAGCTACTTGAAGTAATRCAATTGAGGAAAAAAAGAGATTGTGGGTTTTACATGCTTGAAGATGCTTTATATGTTTACTTTTATTTTCAAATTTTCATTTGAATACTCTTTACATGTTATGTTTATCTATTTTAATCTTAGGTAATAGGATTTTAAAACATTTATTTTAAAATTTAAGTTTATATTTTTTATTAATATTATGTTTATTTTTTATTTTTTGCATTTTTTAAATTTTTTTGGCATTTTCTGAAATTTCTGACATTTTGTTTTTAATTTTTTAGCTTTCTTTTTTGTATTTTTGCACCTTGCTTCAAAAAGGCACATGCCTTCCCTTGCGCCTCAGGCACAAATTGGCCCTTGCGCTTTTTTTGCGCCTTGCGCTTTTAAAACACTAGGTGGTCTACATTATCGTCATCTAAGCCTGATTTCAACTATATGGTGTTGGCTACATGAATCCTGTTTCACCATTTCGTTCTGTTCAATAGACAATAGCACATCCATCGTTAAATTATGAGCATTTAAATCATTTCTTAGTACAACACATGTCCTTGTTGGTTTGCCCTTAGCTGTTCTAGCCCMTTGAACATGTAACAGATCAATTCTTGTTATGGGTGCTGATGTGCTGTAGATGGTCTTCTATGCACTTTCATTTCTTGCTGGAATGTCTACCATGACAAAATTAATAACTATGAGAATCTTTTGAGGAGAAAACCCTACTTATATATATCTCCTCATGTTTGCCTCTTTTGTAAGGCAAATCATGAAAATACATTCCATCTACTGATCTCCTGCCATTTTCCTTCAATACATTTCATCTACAAGCCTTCTCCTTTTTTCTTTCTTTCTAGAAGAAGAGGCAAAATTATGTGGAGGTGCACAAGTGTAGCCATTCTTTGGTGTATTTGAGAAGAAAGAGAATAATTTTCAAAGATAAAAGTAAAAGCAGGGATGCAATATTAGAAAACATAGTGGTGAGGTTATTTCATATTCACCAATTTACTATGAAAAGCCTATTTAGGAATTGAATGATAGTGGCTTCCTCCTGTGCACCCACCCAATGTGAACAGAATCAAGATGAGCTTTAATAGATGCAGCTCAGGGAGCTCAAGAGTATTATGGGCTTTCAGGAATTGGGAAGAACACAGTCAAGCAATTCAATCAGGGTCTATAGGGGAAGGTGATTCTATTAGGGAAGAGTTCGGGCGGCGCTGCATGGCCTAAGGCTGGCCAAGGGTAATTTTTGCATGGATAAGGAACAGATACATGATAAGGGAAATCACAAAACTGTTATTGGGAATAGGAGCACAAGGAAGGTGGATTCCAGAGTCAGCTAACCACTTAGCTGATGGATTGGCAAAATTGGGGCATAGAAATCAAATGTATTAGGGCATCATACCATTGAAGTGCATAATGGATGGGGGTTATCCAATGCTAACTGCCTAAAGGGGTGCAAGTAGGGGTGTAATTGAGCCAAGTTGAGTCAAGTTTTGGGTGGCTTGAGCTCGAGCTTGACTCGGAAACTTAGAGCTTGAAACTTGACTAGAGCTCGATTGAGTTTTGAGTTTCATACTCGAACTCGACTCGAGTTGATACTGGCGAGCTGCTTGAACTCGACTTGGCTCGAGACAATTATAAATAAATTGCTATTAAAAATTATGGATAAAATAATATTTAAAATATTATAAATAAAAAACATATTAGAAAACTTGATTATATATTAAAAATTATAAATAAATCAATATTATGAAATATTATAAATAAAAATATATTATGTAACTTGATTATAAATTTATTTGTTTACACTATAAAAATTAATATTTATTTATATTATAAATAATAATATATTAAAAGATAATATTTTATTAGAAGCTCGATTAGGCTTGCAAGCTAGTTGAGCCGTGTATTACGAAACTCGAACTCGGCTTGACTAATTACTTGACTTGAGTCAAGCTTGACTCGACTTGGTAATCTTCAAGCCGAGTTTGAGTATTTAGCAAGCCAAGCTCGAGTACTTGTGAGTTGGCTCAGCTCACTTACGCCCCTAGGTGCAAGGCGCTTAATCATAGTATCTAAAATCTCGTATGTTTTACAAAGCAATAAACTGTTTTTTACTGTTACTGATAAAAAGGAAAAGCATCTAGGTTCACTTTGAGGGGGAATGTTGAAAATGTTATTTATGTTATTGTCTCTAGGCTATTTATGTACTTTAATTATTAATTATTGTGTAAACAATGTGACAGGGCCTATTTTGCCCTGTTCTTTTTGTTTCCAAATCATTCTTCTGTTTCTAGCCTCGTATTTTTCTCTTTACTATTTTTCTTTTTAATCTCTGATATCACAACTTTAAAATGCTTTTTGATACAAGAATATGTCATGATTTTTAATATTAGAAATAATTATGACCAAGGGCACAACCTCATGCATCTGAGCACATCTTTGACACCACACAGCACACATTTGAAAACATCATGCATTTGATCTATCCTCACAACTCATTTTAATATATGCCTGTTTGGGTTGATGGAATTCTGCTTGTTAGTTCAGTGATAATTTTTGTCATTCATGCATAACTACATGCATAACTATTTGCATATGGCCCAAAGACATGAAGGTATGCACAATACACATTCTTCTAAGTGGAGTGAAAAAAATACACATTCTTCTATGCATTGTAGATATGCATGCTCTGTGTGCATATGCATGGAATGCATGTATAAGTTATATTGGCACTTAGGTCAATGCTCTTCTGTCTCAAGGTTTACATCTGGAACCGAAAGAGCTGCAAGCCCATTGAGGTTTTGCCAGGCCATAGAATGACTGTAAATTGTGTAAGCTGGAACCCGAGAAGACCCCAAATGTTAGCTTCAGCAAGTGATGATCAAACAATCAGGATATGGGGGCCAAGCAGAAGTAAAAAGAAAGTCTGAGAAGTTTTCGTCCATGTGGTAACATATTTTGTGAGCTATGTAGATGCTGTAACGGAATTTTAAGTCGTTTTTTCGTCAGCCTTTTCCCCACCAGGGATTATTTTTTCATGTTCATGTAAATCTGAGGTTTTCTTCCTTCTACCTAGAAAAATTGCTAGACCATCTCAATGTAAATGCCTTCCCCATTAGTCGAGTAACCCATTTCTAATCAATTTTCAATGTGCTTGGATTCGAGAAGTTGTTTCAATATTGTACTTTCAGAGTTGTTTTCCTTATTATGCAATCATATTTACTTACAATTGGGACTGAGTTTTATTTTTTCTAAATTTCGACGGTCATTATGTCAAAGTTGTGAACTTGTGATGCATATCGTCAACTAAATGGTGTTTGGATTTTTTCAAGTGTTTTCTCAAAGGAGAGATGAAAAGTATTATTCACGCACTTAGCAATGAATCCAGATCTCAGACCCACAAGAACTCTTCCCAAGTCTACCCACAAAACACCATCTCCATGCATTTGAACATCTTCCCGTGCATAATAACATGTAAGAGAATGAGATGTTCCCCATGTGTGGCTGTGACGTTATGTGGGTAGGAAATTTGGACTCCATTGCAATCCAGATCTCCTACTCACATGAATCTTACCCACATGAATCCTACCCACTGTACACATCTCCCCATGAATGATAACATGTATATATATGAGATTTTTTCAATGTGCGGCTGTAGTGATGTGTGGGTAGCTGTGTGCAGGGTTCTTGTGGATAGGAGATCCGAACACAAAGCAATGTCCTGGTCGTTGAAAATTGTCTGGATTGCTAAAATGAGAATGATTTTCATTGGTTCGCCCATGAATGGTAGTTTGAATGGTTTTTGAAAAACCCCAAAAACTGGAATTTTTAAACCAGATAGTTGGCTAGTTCCCAAGCCCAACTGTCCAACCATCCAAAGCAAATAGTCCAAACCTAACCCATCCTGAGTAACCTGATTTTCATAATTGGATTACTCAGGTTGAGTTGGGTTCATCAAGTTAGCCCGATAAATGCATGACAAAAGCCCTCTTTTTTTTAGTTAAATGATTTTTTTTACTCACTTATAACCAAGGTTTTTAAATCCGAATCAGACAATGAATTGGTCACTAGTCTGGTTCCTGGGTCAAACGGTCTGACTGTTTGAACTAAACGGATGGTCCATTTTGATAAAAAAAATTTTAAAAATAAAATCAGCCAAACCGTTGAACAGTTTGTCCGCCCAAATCAGTGATTTTTGAGGAAATAACGGTTTTGGGGTAAAATGGAACCGGTCAACTGACCAGTTCTCAAATTTTCTGGTCCGACTGTCTGGTCCAGTCCGGTCCGGTTTTGAAAACCATGCTTATAACATGTTTGTCTATAAATACACATGTGGGATGTTTTTTCTTCTTACGTAATACACCTGGGGAATTAAGGTGTGGGGACGGAGCAGGGTGCACGTGAGGCCCACCTAACATATCACGGAGAGCCTGTGGTTCTGTGGCTTTGATCCTCTGCTTTCTATTTTTGGAGGGATGCTTTACAGATAGTTAATTCCTTTACATCTGGTTCGGATCCACTTTGGAAAGCCTTCACTGTGCTCTCAGATTGTAAGGCGCTTATAGGGTCTTTTTCCTTTATCTCTTTCTCTCGCGTCTCTCATCACTGTAATGGAGCTGCCCACGGGCTTGCCCAGTTAGAGGTGTACTAAAAGCTCTAAAGCTTCTAGTACCAGTACCAAGGTTCAAGGCATGAAGATGAATATGTATCAGCTGAAATGGCTGGGCTGATACATATTAATGCTTGCTTTATTAAATTGCACCTCTATTAATTCTTGCTTTCCTTTAGCTCATGGGAATCAAACCTAGGTGGTCTATATGTATGATAAGGAATCCTACTACTAAACCACTTTACAATTGTGCGGCTGTGCCTATAAAAAACCACGTTACAACTGTGTTAAAATGATATTGGTTATAGATTTTCCTTTTCTTTTGAAACAATGTTATGAACTTCTTTTAGTTGATATCATATCGATAAGAAAATTATTTTATCATTAAAATTTAGAGATATATTTTCTTTTTGACCACTTATATATATAATAAAGTAATCAGGCACATGCATTACATGTAAGAAATTTTTATTCATATTAATTACTTGAATTTTATATATAACATAGTTAAGATAGAAATTAAAAATTAACAAAAGTAGCAATGTGATTAAAATAAACTTAAATGCTTGTAGTAAATGTGCACATGCATTGCATGTGGAAATTTTAAATTACAATAACAATTATTATTATTATTATTATTAAATTTTTTATTCTATTTCTGTCATAAATAAAAATGTTTTTTATTTTAATAATTATTTTTATTTAATATGGCGAAACATTAGAAGTATACCTTAAATATAGAATTTAATGAGAGAATATACCTTGGGTATAAGATTTAATGAGAAAGAATAAGAAAGATTTTAAATTTTGCATTATATTTTTATCATTAATAAAAACATTTCTCATTTATCATACTTATTATTGTTTATTATGTTGAATATATGATGTTAAAAATATTTCCAATTTTTTTAATTTCTATATTTTTTTGCATTTTATCTATTTTTGAATTTTATATATTATTTAATTGTGGTGACATGGATTGACCCATTTGACCCAAAATGGTTTAATTTCTTATCACCACCTAGATGAAAACATTATTTTTTTAGGTAGATTTTTAAAGTATAAGTTTTTATGGTATTGGAATTATTAATTTATTATGTATGGATTTAATTAATAGAACATAATGATGAAAAGAAACAAAAATGCCTTAAATATATGATTCAATGATGGTGAATGCAAGTTAATATCAATAACCAATTATCCTATTTGCCCTAATTTTTATCAATAAATTCAAATATAGAGGGGTAAATTTTATCCTTAAAAAATTACAAAAATGTTCTTGAGGCTATTTATGCTTTTTAAAGTAGAAAAATATATATTCTCCAAAAAGATGAAAAAATAGTGTTCAGGAATCAAAAGGAAACAAAATTAGCCCCATTATAAAAAACTCTTTTCTTCCTTTCCTTTTTCTTTTTCATTTTCTTTGAAACAAGTACAGTATAATACAAAGTTATCCTTAGTCGCTTTCACCCCCTTGATCATGCTAGGAGAGGAGGAAAAATTTGGTTGGCCAGTGCTGATTAACCCTTGTCACGGGCAAACCTAACGTCCGTTTGGAAGGCAGCTTTTGGCTTTGCAAGGTGGGCCCCACCCAGACAATCTATAAGCAATGCTTGGTTTAAGTTCTGGAAAGCCCATTTTACTGTTGTTCAGCTTCAGTCTAAAATATGGTTTTTCAATGATTTTTTTTTTAAACCCGTTTGGGAGGGTTTTAGCATTCATTGATCTGTGTTGACTGAATTGCCTCGAAGAATCTATTAAAATTATTTCATCAAGGCAACCAGTTTCTTTCACACTTAACCCTCTTTTTTTCCCCAAAACTCTTGACTTGATCGACAACCGGCTAATCTAGATGATTGAACTCTTGACCTATTTGACCCGGATAATAATTTTGACCATTTTTTGTTTTAATTATTTTATTTTTTAAATTGGACAGACCATCCATTCAAACCGAACGGGCCGAACAGCTGACCCAAAAACCGATTTTAAAAACTGTTCCAATTCCAGATCGTTTTTAAGTATGAGTACACGAAAACTACAAAAAATAAATAAAAATGAATTTCACGTATATTGAAAAAACCTCAGCCCCTCATTTCAGGGGAATTGAGATCAAAGCAAGGCGATT